TGTAAGTAAAAATATTTAAGTATCTGAACAAAGAATTCTAGTCTCTTCCCAAATTTGATTGCCCTGACTAATCACCTGTTAGGCCTAATTAATTTTAGAATGTTTTAAAGTGTTGCAATTGTTATGTATTTTAATGTGTGATATGATGAGGCTGTTGACGAACTGTGATTGTTTTTTAAATTAATGAAATTTTTTTTTAACTATCTGTTATTTTAGAAGAACTGATGATGGTGGAAAAATACACCGAAACGTATTTTAATTGATAAATAGAGACAATAAATGACGATAAAACCCAGGAATTAATTTTGATTTGGAATTGAAACACAGTCATTCAAATTGGTTGATCTGAGGATTAATTAATTGAATATTTAGGAAATTTATGACAAGATTATCAGAAACGCCCCTTGGCACGGTGGAGAGCGCCACTAGCTTAGCAACTAATTGGTCAATTAAATGTTGAGTAGATAAGTTCTATATTGTTAATATATTATAAATTTTAAAATAAATGTTGAGTGTAAGGAATGTGTATTAAAAATTTTGCTATTTGTGTGTAAAAATGTGGTCTAAGTGGTAGGCATACACAAAATTTGATTAGTGCTATGTCAAGTTGAAGTCGGTTTTTCGAAGCTTGGATAATGTACAAGTTGAGGAAACAACAGAAAAATGAAAAAGCTGTATGGTTTACTTGAGCGGTTTGTTGTAGTTTTATAATTCATATTTATATAAAGTGCATTGGTTGTGTGGGATCCGAAGAAACGGCATAAAATAACATGCAAAATGAAAATAAATCAAGCCCTAGTTTTTCGTGCAGTGACAAAAGTTGCAATGGTCAATAAATTTGATAACATTTTTCAAAAATTACTCATTGAATAATGAGTATATAATATCGGGTTTTCCTATTTTTTTGTTGCTATTTATATTCTCACTTAAGAGTATTTATTTATTTGTTTATTAGTATTTAGTAGCTTAAAATTCTGAGAAAAATTAAGCTTCTTACCCTTAGTCGGGAATGTGAACTGAAGACGCCTTATAAAGGAATAGATCAAGTCTAAATATAACTTTTCCGGGGGGAAGGACCCTAAGACCCGAGTCCACCAACTGTCGTTTAATCCGTGATTAACTATTCCAAGCATATTTCAGTTCCGATTAATTAATCGTGAGTAAGCTTGGGAAAAAATTTCGTATTTTCTTTAAATCCATGCTTCTGATCGGCTCAAACAAACAACCTGGGGGTTTATTAATAATTACAGTATAGTGCGCTTATGATGAACCCGGTTATAGTAAACTTTCGGTTAAAACGAACTTTTTTTCTTTAATTGAAACGTCGTGCATAAATACCAACGTATTTTTTTACTGGTTATAACGAACTTCCGGATATAACGATCACTGTTTAGGTTAGTTGTATATTCACTTTCCGTTTATAACGAACTTTTATAACAGCAACACCAATCCTGGGGAGTTGTTTATATTAGTGATAGCGAGAGACACCCAATAACTTGTTGTTTTTTGCCGCGTTATGTATGCAAATCGTTTTAGAATTGAAAAACAAAAACGCAAATCTTTTTCACTAAATGAAAAGTACGAGATTATGAACAAAATAAAAAGTGGAGTAAAGCAGAGTGACATTTGTAAGGAATTAGCACTTGGAAAGTCTACTGTTGCAACAATATTGAAAAACAGAGAAAACATTTTATCAGCGTATGACAAAGCAAATGCTAGATGTAGGAAGTTAAAATTATCTGCACATGAAAAGGTTGACAAGGGACTTACTAAGTGGTTTAATCAAAAACAACAAGAAAACGTTCCCATAAGTGGTAGTGTTTTGCAAGAAAATGCTAGTGAAATGGGGAGTAAAATCAAAAACAAAGAGTTTGCTTGTTCTAAAA